CAGCAGGAAGGATGACGAGGGCCAGGATGCTGCATGCTGGGGCACCCTCAAGCTTCTTGGAGCGCCCCAGCACCGGCAGGTCAGGAAGAATGCTAGGGCAGTTGATGCTGTGGGGACGGTTCATGAAAGTTGGGCCGGGATGCTGAATGCTGGGGTGCTCTCAAGCTTCTTGGAGCATCCCAGCACCAGCAGGTCAGAAGAATGCTAAGGATGGTGATGCTGTGGGGATGCTGAATGCTGGGGTGCTCTCAAGCTTCTTGGAGCACCCCAGCGCCAGCAGGTCAAGAAGAATGCTAAGGATGGTGATGCTGTGGGGACGGCGGATGATGGTTGGGCCAGGATGCTGAATGCTGGGGTGCTCTCAAGCTTCTTGGAGCACCCCAGCACCAGCAGGTCAAGAAGTTCTCAATGCTAAGGCTGTTGCTGCTGTGGGGGCGGAGGATGATGGTGGGGCCGGACAATGCTAAGCTTCTTTGCGGGAGCGTCCGAAGGCTCACTACGCGCGCGAGCTGAGCGACGTCAAGCTTAAGCTGGAGCAGGCCTTGAGAGGCACTTTTTGTGCCAAGTTAACTTGCACATGCGGAGTGCATGTGGAAGGACACTTCCAGAGTCCGTTCGGGGCATAGACCTGAGCTTCACATGTTGGTTCAGGCGCAAAAGGAAGCCGCAGCGGCCAAAGAGGAGGCCAGACTTGCCACTGCGGAGAAGGCCCGGAAAGCTTCCCACACAACTTTGTATCTGAAGCTTCTGTGCGCCGGTCAATGTTTTTCAGCGCTTAGGATGTTGATGCTATGGGGACGGTGGATGATGGTGGGGCCGGGATGCTGAACACTGGGGTGCCCTCAAGCTTCTTGGAGCACCCCAGCACCAGCAGGAAGGATGACGAGGGCCAGGATGCTGCATGCTGGGGCACCCTCAAGCTTCTTGGAGCGCCCCAGCACCGGCAGGTCAGGAAGAATGCTAGGGCAGTTGATGCTGTGGGGACGGTTCATGAAAGTTGGGCCGGGATGCTGAATGCTGGGGTGCTCTCAAGCTTCTTGGAGCATCCCAGCACCAGCAGGTCAAGAAGAATGCTAAGGATGGTGATGCTGTGGGGATGCTGAATGCTGGGGTGCTCTCAAGCTTCTTGGAGCACCCCAGCGCCAGCAGGTCAAGAAGAATGCTAAGGATGGTGATGCTGTGGGGACGGCGGATGATGGTTGGGCCAGGATGCTGAATGCTGGGGTGCTCTCAAGCTTCTTGGAGCACCCCAGCACCAGCAGGTCAAGAAGTTCTCAATGCTAAGGCTGTTGCTGCTGTGGGGGCGGAGGATGATGGTGGGGCCGGACAATGCTAAGCTTCTTTGCGGGAGCGTCCGAAGGCTCACTACGCGCGCGAGCTGAGCGACGTCAAGCTTAAGCTGGAGCAGGCCTTGAGAGGCACTTTTTGTGCCAAGTTAACTTGCACATGCGGAGTGCATGTGGAAGGACACTTCCAGAGTCCGTTCGGGGCATAGACCTGAGCTTCACATGTTGGTTTAGGCGCAAAAGGAAGCCGCAGCGGCCAAAGAGGAGGCCAGACTTGCCACTGCGGAGAAGGCCCGGAAAGCTTCCCACACAACTTTGTATCTGAAGCTTCTGTGCGCCGGTCAATGTTTTTCAGCGCTTAGGATGTTGATGCTATGGGGACGGTGGATGATGGTGGGGCCGGGATGCTGAACACTGGGGTGCCCTCAAGCTTCTTGGAGCACCCCTGCACCAGTAGGAAGGATGGTGACGCTGTGGGGGCGGTGGATGATGGTTGGGCCAGGATGCTGAATGCTGGGGCGCCCTTAAGCTTCTTGGAGCACCCCAGCACCGGCAGGTCAGGAAGAATGCTAGGGCAGTTGATGCTGTGGGGACTAGTCATGATGGTTGGGCCGGGATGCTGAATGCTGGGGTGCTCTCAAGCTTCTTGGAGCACCCCAGCACCTCTCAATGCTGTGGGGCGCCTCGTGTTTCGTCGCGTCAGCATCCGGAGGCTGAGTACGAACTCGCCTTCGACGAAACCTACGACGAGCTGAGCGAAGTCAAGCTCAAGCTGCAGGAGGCCACGAGGGGCACTTTTTGTGCCGAGTTAATTCATGTCACATGCTGCGAGGCAAGGGAGAAGGTAGACGAATTGTGGAACGCATCTTTCCACATCCGGCGCTGCGCCCTCCCCGCTTGCCTGGAAATAATTGCAGATGGGATCAAGACCTCAGCAAGATTTTTGTGATTGTGCCGGGGTTCACGTGATTAAGCCACATTCGCCAAATGTTGGCCAGACCAAAGCTCAGGACCGCAAGATCTTGGGCGGTGCAGGCAGCCTGAAGCTTGCCCCGGGCTCGCGTGTGCTTTCAGCCACGCGGTCATGGGGGGCTTTGTCCTGGCGCTGCGACGGCACTGTCGCAGTTGTGGACTACTGCGCCTCTGTGGGCTTTGGTGGCGGCGAGCAGCTGTGGATGGCGGCGCGCGAAGACGCCCTGGGTGCTGGCTGCGTGGGCGCCTGAGATCTTACTGAAGTGGGTTGGAAGATCGTAGACGTCAGACATCCCATCACCATCACACAAACGCCGCCACTCCCCGACGATCCCTGATTCCGAACCTCAAACTCGGAAAGACCCCTGGCAGGTGGTACACTTCTCGATTTGTAAACCTTTCGCTGCGTGGCGGATAGTGCGAATGATTCTCATTCTTGCACAGGGGCCATGCGGCCATGCGCCGCAGTTCTAACACTCTTCCGCGAGTGCCGGCGCATGCCTGGCTCGGGCGATTCCTTCGGTCTAGACTCTGATGTCAACACTTAGCGTTTTTGCATCCCACCCAGTTCAATGAATGCTCCCTTCGGTGGTTGATGGTGCCCCCGACCCTTTCAACCGCAGGTGCACGTCCGTCATGCTTAAGTGGCTGCTCCATCCAAAGTCCTTGAGTTGCGTTCCAAACTGATAAGTTGCGCCGCTTGCTTCTATCTCACTGTCGAAGGCAGTGCAGGCAGTCAGACTTTGACGTTCAGTTTTGGAAGCAATCGCGTGGGGCCATCTTGAGCCTGTCCTTGACTCCTCGGACCTCCAGGAACCAGTGAGGCGTTTCCAAACAAGTACAAATAGCCATATCTGAGTTTTCCGCCAGGAGGCATGACCAAAATCTCGGGCGCAGCACACTTCCAAACAGCGGCAGCCAACTTCACGGGACGACTTGGATCCAAAGTGGAAGGCTGCCGGTCGTCTACGAAGTACGAGCCAAAACAAAGACTACTTCTGACTGAACTAAATGACGATCCTGACCATAAGTTCGTCACTGTCTCACGAACAGTTGTTCCGTGTGACCTTCAACCACTGCTGGCAGCGATTTGACCTCAAGCGTATTTGTCCAACCTCATCTTTTGAGCTCCACTGTGACCTACGGCTGCAGATGCAACTACGCGCCTTCAGGTCTCCACCGATTGCCGCTGGAAGGGCATACATCTTGGGATGCACCCCGGGCCTTGAGTCACTTGAGTCCCCATACCCCAATCAACCTGCGTGCCGTCAGTGGGGCAAGCCCGCGTTGTCGAGTTGATGGAAGCAGCTGGAAGCATTTTCGGGATCGCGGCGAGAAATGCCAGGCTCGTACAGTTTCCACAAACTAACTAACCTCGACATCTCCTCAAAATGGCTTCCGGGTCAGGGCGACTTTGGCCAGAACTGCGCTTCCTGGAAGAAGATCTCTTTCATGTCTTCATCTCCTTAAGCCACGTACGTGGTGGATAGCGCGAATGATCCCTTCAGGGGTCATCCTTCCACAGGAGAGAAAGGACACGAAGTACCCCTCCTATCCCCTCCTACATCCCTTCTTGGACCGAAAGTGACAACACTTCTTCTGGCTGGCAGTCGATTGGGGAGGAGTCGCAGCCCGTGCGATCTATGCGTCCTGCTGCTGATGGGCAACCTTTAGTTGTTCGTCTGCAGCTAGCTCTGGTCTCGCTCCATCATGTCCGACGCATTCTGCGCTCGTTGCTGTACGTCGCGTTGACGTGGCGGATCCAAGTGTAGGGATAGTCTCATTTGGAGTGAGCCATACCTTCTCCGAGGTTCTTCGCCAAGCTCCGGCAGAGACATCTGCCTTGCCCTTCCTAAGGCAAGCTGGTACCTCAGAACCTTTGCCAAATCTTGAACGCTGTTGGCAACCGTTGGGTTTCGTAAAAATCGCTGCAACTGTTAACTTCCTCTGACTCCCCAGGCTGCAGACGCGCTAAGACCGCCAAGCAAAGTGCAGCGGCGTTGACGGACAAACCCTGCGCCTCCTCAATGTGGCGTGTTTCGCTCTCAGGATGGTTCTGAGAAGTAATACCGACTGTCCCACGCAGCTCGCAACGTCGTCCAGCGAAGTCTGCATATCTGTCTGCCGTGCAAGGTTGCAACGGTTTGTTCGACCCTGGCAATCATGCTTGACATGTCATTCTGCATGGAGGATTGGAAACCTTGTTCCCGTTGTTGTCGCGCCCTAAACTGATGATCCACACGTGGTATCATCTGGGACAACAGCTCCGAGCACCCTGCCTGGGCTCTCAAGTGATCTGCCAAATCATTAGTTCGATCATGCAGCTCTTGCGCGAGGAATGACAGCCCATGATACAAGGCCTCCATTGTTCCTTGACACTGCTCCACGGAGACTCCAACATGATGCAACTGATCCAAAACTGCTGTGGGGATCTCAATCCGCGTCAGCTGTCGCAACAAAATGCTTGCCTCATGACTTGCTGAAGTTTTTTGCTGCTGCTGCTGCTGCTGCTGCTGCTGCTGCTGCTGCTGCTTGACATGATGTTAAGACAGTTGAGCTGGGCTCATGGCCTGTTGGTGAAGTGGGGTTGTTCGGGCTATGATATCGGGGCTACTTGTCTCACGAGCCTCCATCTCTGAACTGGGCCTTGGGAGTCAATAAACACCCTCAAATTCCCACCTCCTCCCTCGAGAGACTTGAGCCATTACGGATCATGGCAGCATGTCATTCTTACGCAGGGCCATGCACCTTGCGACATATCGATCATCCTTGCGCAGGGCCACGCACCATCTGCCCTGAAGGTCTACGCCCTTCTGAAATCCCTGGGTGGCGCCGAGTCGTTCTGGGAGAAGCAGGGCTTTGAGACCCTGAGGCTGAGCGATAACTTGCCAGCCAAACTCCGTGCTGCGGCTGCCGAGGTCTCCTGTTTGCGCACAATGTGGCGCAAATTGTGAGCTTCCCCGAAAGCCTCGACGAAATATAAAGTATCACCAAGCCAGTGGTGAAACCCAGTAATTCTTTATACGGGCCTCTTTAATCACGATAATACACTCTCTTCAGATTTACAACAGCAGCACACGGAGCGGCGCAAAGGATGGAATTCCCAGCAGTCTTAGTTTGTCACTGTGGCGAGCCCTCCGCGAAAAAGTTTTTTGCCCCACCTCATGCGCACACGCTCCGTGCAAGCACGGCGCAAGCAAGGAGTTTCGCATAGGCCCCCGATGGCTTTGATGTGTTCTTTGGCCCAAAGACGCCGGACGGCGCCTTGCCGAATGTCCTGGTCCCTTTGGGCATCTCCCGGCATGATGCTGGCATTGCTGCTGACGCATCTGACACCGTCGCTGTCGATCCAACCAGCCATTTTCACTGGTGCCTTTGCCTGGCATTAAGTGAAGTGGCTCATAGGTGTGTTTGTTTTCGATGCATCATGTTCATGCATGGTTATCTTTAATACTCTTGGTATTGGATGCAGGTCAGGGGCACTCCTGTACCGTGGACGACGGAGGCAATGCCCTATGCTGGGGCAAAGGCCACCAAGAGTTCAAAAACATCTGCATTGCGTGAGTCGCAGTCTAGTCTAGTAGCAGACCAGCAGCTAGGCCCCACAGCCCTTGTGGTTTGTGTGTAAATGGTGCCATGCCAAATTTGCTAAAGGAGATGCTGGCCAGCTGGGCCAAGAGAACACCAACAACATTGGAGCCGAAGGGGGCCAGACGCTGGGTTCGGTTAACGTCGCAAGTCTATGGTGGGAAGCTAACGGATTAATTGACTTCAGCTTTCGGGAGCAGCACGGTCACATGTAGAATAGAGCCATTCAACACTGAGGGTCGAGGCGCTGGTGCCCATCGACGTCGGGTCGGGCCGGACGGTGCAGAAGCTTGCAGCCGGGAGCAGCCACACTTGCGCTCTGCTGGATGATGGCTCCGTGAAGTGTTGGGGAGGTGGGAGCATTGGAGACGAGGCGGATACCATGGGTGACTTCTTGCCCCCTGTTGACCTCGGAACCGGTCGCAGCGCAACTGACATTGTCGCTGGTGGTGGCTACTCCTGTGCCCTTCAGCATCGGGAACTCTCCAAGCGCGATGGGGGATAATTTGGATGCCATAGATTTTGGAACTGGTCGGACGGTCGGACGGCGGCTCGGATTGTAACGAGTGGCAGTCACCACTGTGCGATTTTGGATGATGGCTCCCTGAAATGCTGGGGGTCAGGCTCCATGGGTCAACTTGGACAGGGGAGTGCTAGCTCCATTGCCGAAACATCCTTGGCCGCCTTGCCTCCGATCGATGTAGGGACTGGTCGAACGGTCCGTGGCAGTTGGGTCTTTACACACATGCGCCGTGTTCGACACCTTCTCACAAGTTTGCTGGGGCCACGGCTAGAGGACAGACGGGTCAGGGAGGTGCAGCGGAGGTCGGCACGGACCCGGCGGACCTGGGCGACGGCTTGGTCGTTCTGGACGTTGGCAGTGGCAATCTGGTCCTGGATGTGGTTGCAGCTTGGTATTACACCTGCGCGTTGCTGAACGACTTCTGCACCAAATGCTTTGGAGACACCACAGATTATTCCATCATCTATGGCGATGAGCCGGACCGCTCGTCAGCTGACCGCGGGCTTAGTTCACCGCTGCGCCGTGCTTGACGACAGCTCCATCAAGTGCTGGGGACAGGCTGCCCAAGGCCGCCCGGGAGTGATGGGATGACAACCCCAGCGTCATGGGCGACAACCTGCCGACCGTCGCTGTTACCCTCAACGCCTCCTCATCCACAAACTGCGCCGTGATGTAGCCCAGCCGCAGCGAAGGTTTTTTTCTCGTGGGTTTGCAACGGTGTGGCACTGCTTTCTCCCAATCACAACAGGATGCATGCTGGTGAAGGTTTGTTTGTGCGCGATTGAATTCGTCGGTTGGCGCCTGAACTTCTGCCTCCTCCTCTACACGGCCTCTGCCTAATTTTGCAAGTAGCACTGATGTCGCTGCACAATTTAAAGCGGCCGCTCAAGGTCATCAATCTCCTCAACCACATCATTCACTCGCACAACCTCGGAGACACAGTCCCTTCCCCAGTTCTTTGACAAGTGAACTGTCAACTGTCTGCCCCCTGCTGTGCAACAGGGGCAATCGGGCTAAAGAGGACATGCTTCAGTGACTCCCATCTCAGGGTTGCAGGAGTGTCAGCAGGCGGTGTCAGGGGGTCATCATAGCTAGTCAACAAAATGGGAAACGCCCACACAAAAAACAAGGCTCAACTGCCCGAAAGGACCAACACATGGGTCACAGACAACGAAGAGGCCCCCGCTGCCCACTCAGCTTTCTCTGCATATTCTGAGTCTTCGAGGTCGTTCAATTGGATTGCTGGGTACCGCGTTCTTTGCACCCCCCATGCTGTCCGCATGGTTGCTTCCGCCACTTTCCTGTACCCTGGCCCATTTGCACCCCCAAGCCGGGCAAAGATGAACGCATAAGTGCTGACTTGAACGGGGGACTCCGCACCCTGGCGAGTGCAACAGACACTCAAACTCGTCCCCCAAGGTCATGATCATTGTTGTCATCTGCATCGTCTCCTTCATATCGTGCCAGCTCGCCGCCCGGGGCCCAAAGAGCATCGTGTCATTCAGGGTTTGTTGTTGGCTGTGGCCCCACTGTGACAAGTTTTCTGCTGTCACCTTGGCAATACCAAAGCTTTAGTCATTTAAGATCAGCCGCGATGCCTCCGTCTCCATGCAGTGGCTTCCATCAGAAGTTAGAGACAGCAGTGCGATGAGGGTAATGTCTAAAGTCTCGCAGATTCTAGCAGCATCAATTCCCGGCCAATCTCTCATTGCACTTTCGGCGAATGGGTTCCAATGGAAACCACTTCAATGCCGACTCGAGATGTGACATTTACTTGTACTTTGTCTGCTGCGGAGGTTCGACGCCGTGTCCGGATGCATCCAGCATCCAAGGCACACTTTCTGACTTAGCTTCTGGCTCAGCTCTTTGGGAAACTCGATTGTCTCGGGATTCTTGCTCAGCCGCTTCGTATTGGGGATTGCCTGTCATTCCATCCAATAAACGCACCACAAGGCATGAAAACGAGAAAGCACGTTGCTAACACGGTACGTCGACTGACTTGGCCCGACGGTTCCTCAGGGGTGATACCCGGATCCCCTGAGAGGGCTTTCTGAGGCGGGTCCTTTTGGTGGTGGGAGGAGGTGGGGGTGTTCCAAAAAAGGGTTATGTGTGCGCGCACATTGTGGCATGTCGGTACGAAACCTACAAGAGGAACGTTGTATTCACTGTGGGAAACGCAGTGGACCATCATGGTTTGGCAGATTCTTGCGGCCTTGGGCTGCCCATCCTCTAGGCTTAGGCGATCCCGTAGCGCCCCTGCATGATCCCTGTGCCCCCACTACACCAGTACTATAACCCCTACACTGGCCCTACACTTCATCCCCCGCCTGATCTTTGCGAGTTCTTGCCTTCGCGCACTTCGCGGCAGGGAGCTTCAACGCGGCCGGAGCTTACCAGCCACGAGGCAGGGGCTGCACAAAAAAAACCTGCATAACCACAACCTCCTTTTGAGGGGTCTGCACTGTGAAGATTGTGAAGACACCGAGTCCACTGCACGCTTTTGTCTCGGGTTCTTCGGTACGGCGTTCGGGATGCTGCCTGGCGTTTTTTCTCTTAGTGCTTGCTACTTGGCGCGATTGCGTGCTCGTGGGGAATGTTTTGCTGCACATGCTGGGTTTCAGTGTACGGTGCGATGTGAGTGTGGGGATTGGACAAGGCGGGTTAGCCACAGCTAAGTGGCACAGCGTGAGTTGCAGACTGGCAGTATCTGGCAGTTCTTGAGGCGGAACAGTGGAAGACTATAAGGGAAGCAACCGTCCATAAGCCACCATTTCGATGTTTGGGTTCAGAGTGTGGGGTAAACATGCTTCCCCGGCGGTAAGCTTCTGTGGGAACCCCTCATGGATCCAAACACCCCAATAGGGTCCTGGACAGGCTTCGTGGCTTAGAAGGGGTCCACTTTCAAGTGCCCAAGGTGACCAAGGAGACCTCCAACTTCGAGCCCGAGGTTGCCCCCGACGTCGAGGAAGCTTCGCATCACAACTCCCTGCCCCTCATCCAAGTCGGCGAAGTTCGAGATGCCAAGGCTTTCTGTCAGGGACACGTTGTGCCTGCGGTTTGGGGTGGGATTGTCAAGTTGATATCAAAGCCTTCGGCTTCGATCACGGTCGAATCAAGAAAGGCTGAATGCATGAACTTGTAACCGTCCATTTCAACGCAATCGCTTCAAGTTGGGATCACGGTTGAATCAAGCGTCTACGCCTGGGCCTTTGACTCAAGTCGCGAACACATCTGCTGACCCCCGAAAAGTTAATTGTGAGAAGAACCACTGTGAGCTTTGGCTTAGCAGGTCCACAGGCGACCCGACATGGATCTCCCCCTCACTCACTTAGCTTCGTTGGGCATGGTGTGTGAGTGAGGGCCATGCACCCCTGCTTGAAAATCAACAATCCTTTGTGATGAGAAAACCACACACACACACACCCACGCACACGCACACACACGCACACACGCACACGCACACACACACACACACACACACACACACACACACACAACACACACACACACACACACACACACACACACACACACACACACACACACACACACACACACACACACACACACACACACACACACACACACACACACACACACACACACCACACACACACACACACACACACACACACACACACACCACACACACACACACACACACACACACACACACACACACACACACACACACACACACACACACACACCACACACACACACACACACACACACACACACACACACACACACACACACACACACACACACACACACACACACACACACACACACACACACACACACACACACACACACACACACACACACACACACACACACACACACACACACACCACACACACACACACACACACACACACACACACACACACACACACACACACACACACACACACACGCACGCACGCACACACGCACGCACGCACGCACGCACGCACGCACGCACGCACGCACGCACGCACGCACGCACGCACGCACGCACGCACGCACGCACGCACGCACGCACGCACGCACGCACGCACGCACGCACGCACTCACGCACGCACGCACGCACGCACGCACGCACGCACGCACGCACGCACGCACGCACGCACGCACGCACGCACGCACGCACGCACACACGCACACACGCACATACGCACATACCCCCGCCTGCCCGCCCGCGCGCGCCTACACACACACAGACACACAGACGCACCCCCCGGCCGACAGCTCAAGCGCACGTCCGCGCGCACACCTACGCCCACAACAACAAGCCACACACGAAGCACATGTACCAGCGCACCCGAAGGATTGAGAAGCTAGTGGGACCTCTCACTTCGTAGGTATGTTCGAAAGCTGTCCTTTTGGAAAATGGCACTCAGATGACACGTATCTTCTTTCACATGAGCCCTGTTTGTGAGCCTCCGACCCGCCGCAATCATTCACCTACGAAAGCGGCTTGTCTGCTTGCCGGCGGGCGAAAACATACCACCTGCACATGCGATTCACACGACTGTCTACACATATGCAGCATATGCATACATACGCACGCAGAACGACAACGTTCTGAAACTACCCGTGTGGCTCTGCACTGATGCATGGACAAACTCGATGTACTGGACTGGTCTCTGAGTCAAGACCGCGTGCTATGGGCAGGATGTCGATTTCGTTGATGACCCAGTGCCTCAGGAGCACGCAGTGGGTGGAACTTCTTCGGTTTTCGTGGAGTGCGGATCCCGCGAAGCAGATGAAGCGGATGAGCGAGTCAATGCGACGAGATTCTGGACGGAGAGGCGGTTTTCGTGGAGTGCGGATACCGTGAAGCGGATGAAGCGGATGAGTCAGCGAGTCAATGCGGCGAGATTCCGGACGGACAGGGGGCGCAGGTCGCCATGTTCTCAGCCAGGTGCCCCGGCTGGAGAGGCTCTTTGAGAGATCTTTTCATGGGATGTTTGCAAAAACTTCTGGATTTTTGTTGGGGGTCCTACAGTTTCCTTAAAGTTCCTAGTGCCTTGCATGGCAGCGCAGCGCGTCGCGCTGAGGTTCGATGGCAGCGACGCAGAAAAGCTCCTTAGGGTGTGTATGCGATCCTGCGGGATCGCGGGTACCCTGTGCTTATGGTGAAAGCAGGTCCCGGTGACAACTTCGGCGAACAGACGGCGAAATACTTAGGCAGACTCAAGAAAGACAAAGGGGCCTTGCTCGCTGCTTGCACGAAAAACGACGGGGAAAAAACCTCGGCGAGAATTCGACATTCAACGAGCTGTGGTTTTGCCTACAACAACAAACTGGACATCATTCCTCTGAAAATGCATCATGACTCGTCGGGGAGTGCAACACCACCCGACCGCGGCAACTGCGGCCACTTCCGTCTTCGAGGCCCAGCGTTGAGTGCCCGGAACCCTCCATAACGTTTCGGGGGTAAGGAAAGCAAGGTTGTACGCCATGTGCCTGGAGCTTTGAAACCCATGCCTGCCAACATGTCTTTGACAAGTTCCACCAGGTTATCAGTGCGAGAGTCGAAGTTTTAGACACAAGTAGGGCTAGAACTCATCCGGCGATTGGATCAAATCACGTGAATTGAGAGGCGCCTGCCCGCACGGCGACCTTCCTGTCAGATCAGTCGACCAGAACGCGGTCGGTTGACATGCAGGCATCTCGTGCCCTCCGAGTGGGGCATGCAATAGTTTGGAACCACTCTGAGGGTTGCTGGGTTGTTGAGGATCTTCCTTGCTTTGCTGCTCCCGACTGGCCGAAGGTTTTGACTTAAGTCAAAACCGTAACGCGGTAAGCTGGCACGTAGCGCTGCCAGAACAAAGCAGCTGGAAAGAAATCTTGCTTGGATCCCGAGTTGCAGGAACACCATGGAAGTGTCAATCAGCGTTGGACTTGTAGGCCTTGTGACGTTGACGTTGTTTGGTTTTTGTTGGGGTGTGCGGCCATGTAGACTTGTTTTTTTTTGGCAGGCTTGATGCCTGGCCGGGCGCATCTGCTTCCGCTGGTAGCGGCCGGCAACGCATACATTGTACTGTCGTGAAAGTCTCAAGCGCGAGATGCCGCGCCCTGGGATGTACGTGATGTACGTGATGTGTGTGCTGTGTGCCGCGTTATCCTCTGAGGTTCCTGATCCCTGGGAAGCACCTACCCGGTACCTACCCAATCGTCAGGTATCTCTGTCCCTGCGGCCCCCCTGCGAGCCCCCACTCGCAAGCTGTCAAAATTTGTTTCTACGCTCACTCCTAAACAAAAGGCGGCCTGCCGCACTTCCGGGGTCAGCATGCCGCAGGCGTTTTCTTTCCCGAGCTGTGTGTGCCACGTGCAATCAGCTCAATATGCAGAGCCAAGAGGCACAAAACGTGTAGCCGTCGTCATCCCTGGTCCTCCCTGGCCCCGACCTAGCCCAGCACCATGGCGACTAGTTTTCTTCGCATAGATCCCGCATTGTGTCCACCACCCTGCGGCTAGCTTCATGTTTTCACTCGATAGTCAGCAAGCTGGAACCCCTTTCGGGTTTGGAGTTTTTAGGTTGGAAGGAAACCTTAAGGGGGCATTTGCGGGGAAACCCCAAAGCTATTTGATGAAAAGCTGGCAAACTTTCAGTAGATCCCACCAAGTCTGACCTAATGCTTCGGTTTACAGTAGATCTGATCCTGATTCTTTCAATCGCAAGGAGTGCCAAAGTTACTTTTTTAAGCAGTTTGGCAGGGCAAACATGATGGTGCATGATGTCGTCCGGACGACCGGACGTGCGTGATACCAGCGATGCCAGCGAGTGGGTCACATTGCTCGAACGCTCCTTTGCTGGCGCACGTCGAGACCTTGTAGGCCCCAGAGCCTGGAAATCGGCCACTCAGAGCAAAATTCAAAAGAGAGAAGGCAACAACGACGAGTGGAGAATTTTGAATCCTTTTCGCATTTATCGCGCTACACCACGATTCTGAAATCTTTCAGAGGTGATCCCAGTGGTTGGGCGGCGCTATCCTGACGAGATCTTCAGCTTCCTTCGTGGGGCAAAGTGTTTGGGTCCTTCAGAAGTGGAGAAGCTCTCGGAGATCCGAGGATGTCCCGACCTTGCAGCAGGAGGCCTCAAGCATCAGCCTGGACATGTCTTGAGAGCGGGCCTTCTTCTTTCCCTTCTTTCAATTTTCTGTACCCTCTTGGATCCTCTCCTCTGAACCTGAGCATTCCTTTGCAGGCTGGCAGCCCTTCTTCGCAAGCCTCGCCCCAGAGGACGGCCTCCAAGATGGCCGTGTGGTGGACTTCCGCCAGTCAAGTTCACCAACCAGGCGTGGTGTGCTGAATGCATAACTCATGCTCATAGGTATATACATATATATATATACATATACATATATATATGTATATACGTTATATATATATATATACACATATCCTCATATTGAACGCATGAAGGCATGATGCTTCGGATTTAGCAGTGTCGGAATCATAGCACTTGCAGTATGTAACGAGAGGCTGGATGTACCCACTTGCAGACGCATCTCTTACCGCTTGAGAGAGGACCTGCCTGATGATCTCAGCTCAAGCCGAGTTTCGTCTCTTACAACCTGTCCCCTGCTCAGACGCGCCCAGGACGCAGCCGGCATCGAAGTTCGACTCGAGGTGAACTTACGCCGCGCCTTCGCCATGATGCTGCACACCATCAGGCGTGGCGATCGCAAGGAGACAAGGGTGAGCATATGCACGAGAGCATTGCTTCCTGCGTGGATCATGACAGCTCTGCTGTGTTGTCGGCGAGGTTCCCTGCTTCAGGCTACGATGCTGCATGCTGCCACTTGAGGGACTGTGACCATGTAGTTGCTGCATTCTGGAGATGAGCTACTGTCAAACGTTGCTGAAAGTTGCTGGGCACCCGCGCATCTTTCCCCCAATCGAAGCCAAGGCCCCATGGGCAGCCCTTGGGCAACAAAGACAGACAAAAGCTGGCAAGAGCCATTTGACTCAGAAGATTCCCGCAGGGCTTCGGTTGATGCGAGGCTTTTCCCCCCAACGTGCCGAAAGACGTCGGCCTGAACCCCACAGCATGCTCTTGAGCCACCGCGAAACGGCTTGCTCTTGCTAATACACGAGACATATCTTGGAATCGGACAAACCACGTGCCAAGCGCGAGCGAGAATCGCAATGGATGACTGCAATCTCACACCGCAGGTTGCTTGGCGCCAGACAATCTGGCTGGACACTTGCTGTCCTGGGATGAAACACAAGGCAGCAAATTATTGCAACTGCCAATCAACAACTATGTCGTCGCAGACACGTGTAAACTGAGAACGGGGCCCATGGCTGTTGGACGGCGGCAATCCCAAAAAAAAACTCTGCCACCCGAATGCCCCAACATCGGCGCCCGATGACAAACGGCCAAACATCGGTGTTAAACCGCTAGCACGGCATCCTGAAAAATGGCCACGTGTTCGGTGTGACTCGCACGGAAGGCTACACCTTGCTAGCACGACGTAGTCACTGCAGCTAACAGCGGAACATCTGACCACTGGTAGCGCATGGAGAGACCAATCGCAGGCTACGAGGCGGACTGGCGCATCTGGCCCGGTACGCCACCAGACCTTGGGCCTCTGAAGCCGCTGAAGCCGCTCAACTTCCGGCTTCTGGACAACAAGCTGGATGTCAGGCCAAGTGACCGAGCGGCGGGGGGAAGCAGTGCAGTGCAGCTGTGCGGCGGTCTGGTGAGGCATCCGTCGCCGCCCAACTTCCGCGTGCAGCTCCGCCCCGAGCAGCTGAGATCGCTGAGTTGGATGGTGCAGCAGGCCACCGGAGAAGGGCTGCCGGAGCAAAAAAAGCTTCTTCTTTGCCACACGCTTTGTTTTTTTTCGCATGGCCTCAGGAGGTCGGAGACCAGCTCCTGACCATGGCCAGCGCCTTGGGGAGCCATTCGAGAGTAAGCCAAGAGCAGCGAACCTCGAGATGGGGACATGGGCACACCTCTCACTCACCTTGTGGGCAAAAGGCCCCCCCCTCCCCCCCCCCGGCTCAAGCCTGCGAAGGCTCTGCATATATCTCTGCACCATGAGGGAAGACTCTCGTCTCTTGGAGCTTTTGGAGGTACTGTATGATGTCCTATGATGCTCCCAAGCATCCAGGAAAGCTTGCTGCCCTACAAGTGTTGGTTCCGTTCCCAATCCCAAACACGTACTTTTGCATCGTTTCGGAATTTCGGCTGCAAGTTTGATTTTGGAGGAACGCCGTCAAAGACCGCCCTTAAGAAGCCGAAAGCTGTTGAGGCGAAGGGCGGTTCAATATCTCGTGTCGGGGCCCAACAGGGCCGGCAAAAGGCTCCGCTGCCTCGCAGCACGCATTCGATCTTTTGTGAAACTCCCCGCTGGCATGGGCGTGTTCTGGCTTTGCAAGCACCAGAATGTGCACGTGGCTCCTCCTCTTGCCGCTACCTCAATTCTAAACGGGCCGTTTGCTTGGCATTATTGCAGTCGGATGTGGGCTTGCCGGACCTCGCAGAAATTGTATGGCGGGCACACTTGTGACCACTATATGGCTACAGCTCGCAGCAGCAGACACATGCAGACACAGACGGCAACCGTTGCTTATGCACAATACACACGTGAATGTGACAGCATCGCAGTGCCGGATGAGGATGTGACAATTTGCCAGCTGTGTTAGAGGTGAATTGAGCATTGTGCAGGGTTTGGGCATCAGAGTTTCCAAGGTCTATCGCTGCTACTGGCAGGGAGCTTTGTGCTCTGCTAGCACCCTGAAAACCAGCCCACAAACGATGCCGAGGCAGCGGGAACGTCCAGAAGAGGCCGTCCATGCTTGCTGAAATGTGCAGACGGATGCAGACACTGAGAGCTCGGAAGCGCAAAAAAGTGGTGGAGGCAGCCCCACGAAGCCTGGCACTGGACTGGACGTTGGACTGCCGCATCATCACCTCCTTCGAGGCGGGAGCTTGAAAAGCCCTTAATTGACGGGATCATTTTGTCAGAAGGGACGAAAAGCCGAGTCGATTCATGCAACGGAACCAATGGAATGCAGAGGCGACCGCAGAAGCTTGTGTTTCATCCCTTCCCAAGAATGTTCTTTCCATAATGTTCATACCAGAATGTTCATGGGGCCTTAGATCTTGATCCAGCGCGGTAAGTATAGTATACTGTTTGTTTCCCGAAGGGTCGTAGTGAAGGACCAGCAAGGCTCGCGACTACAAAAAAAGCGAAGAAGGTACAGCACTACTCTTGCACTTCTGCAGTAGCAGGGGCAGCATCATCGCATACCCCTGAACCTTCCTACAAAGTCTTTTACGTCTGCACTGCGACTCAAGAACTTTGCAAACACTTTCGAACGTAAACGCGTGAAAAGAACGTTCATGTGTACATGGCACGAATTTTATCGGGGGTGTTGGTAATGCAACCCCACTTATTGCTTGCTTGGCCTACGCTCATTGCAAGGTGTTACTTGCTTGGGTTGTCGCGAGCAGGTCACGTATGTCCTATTCGTTCATTTGGAGAAACGTCGTTTTCTTGTTCAAACCTCCGGGTGTCCAAGTTGGTTTGAACACAAAGCCCCCCCAAAAAAGTCACTCGCATCCCTTTCTCCCGACATCTCCTGAACCTCAGGCTCGCGGAGGCGTACTGGCTGACGAGTGGCTTGGTTCCAGCAGCAAGAGAAACGGGCACAGCGCTTCGCAAGCCCCAAAACAGCAACCCGATGATGTTACCTTTTATGAACATCAAAGACAAGACGCGTGGAAGACAGTTCTGTTTTTTCTTGTTCTTCTTGTCGAGATACCGGGGCCATTCCGAGGATCGGCTATGGAAAGACTGCCCTGGCAATCGCCTTGCTGGACGTGCGAGACGATGCTTGTCTTGTTGGCCGAGTGCATCTTAGATCTTTTTTTTGCAGAACTTGGACGTGTCGAAACAGTTGTGCTGAAGGAGATGTTGAGAAGGTCAGTACATTCAGGCAAGTAGACACAATGAGTACACTTACAAGTAGAAGCCCTTCTGTGCACAGAAAGGAAGGGCCGTTCTTCCCAGTTCCAGACGCTGATCGTGGCTTCTTCTTCGAAAGCAAGAGCACTCTCATCTGCATTCCGTCTCACCTTCACGGACAGTGGGCTGATGAGTTTCTGAAATTCACGGGCAGCAAGTACAAGCTCTTGAGCTTGAGCAGGGAGATTGACTTGCAGAAGGCTACTGTCAGGACACGCCGGTTGCTTTTGGAAAAAGCATGCCATTGCTGCTTCTCAAGAGTTGGATGCCGGCCGTGCTGCGAGGACGTTCCTTGAGGCGGATGTGGTGTTGTTCGACTACCACCTCTTTCAACGCAGCTCCTATATCAAGCGGCGCCAGGAACTCGCTGCCTTGGCAGTTCCCCAGTCCCCGTCGGACAGCTTGCAAGACGCGGCTCGGCAACAATGTTACAAGACTAGTGGGAGCTAGAGACTGGAGACCTCAAGACAATCAATGGGTCATTTTGAGTGTCATTTTGTAGTCTGTCATTTTGGGTGTCGTTTCTTTTTTCGTTGCAGGGTCGTTTTACCTAAGCAATGCAAGGAGTTTTGTGCTAAGAAGCATACAGATGATGCGCCGCTCAAAGCCTTACACTGTGGAACTTTCACTTTCTTGCGAAAGCCCATTCCGCACGCCTGGGACAGCTTCCTCGAGAGAAAGGATGTCGAGGACCCGTCGCTGTGCGCACAGCGTCTGCGCTTCCCGGTGTTGGAGCAGTTTTTCTGGCGACGGGTCGTCTTCGATGAGTTCCACGAGCTTGGAGATGATCTTTGCCGCAACTTGTCCTCTTTGCGTTCGCACCATCGCTGGGGCCTCACTGGGACGCCTGCATCTTGGTGGCAATGATCCGAAGCAGAGATGCTTGCAGAAGCAAGGGCACTCGTTAGTCAATGGTAGTACCTTCTCTGCAAAGGCAATCATCTTCCCATTCCTGCCCCCCACCCCCCCACACAATGATACACCATGATGGTGGGTTGATTCAAGATGCTGCATGCCATCGGGATGGTCCCAAATTTTGACCTCCACCTGTCGAAAGTGGTCGCAAGTGAATTCGCGCCCATCCTATCTACAAGTAGGATCAGGTGAAACAGCAATGGAGAATACACAGGGTTCTATGCCTCTCTCGTAAAGCGGCATGAAATTACTATACTACCTGCCACCAGTGCCGCGCACAATACATGTGGCGCGTCTAGCTGCGGTGTAGGTGGTTTTTCGGCCCGCTTGCATTGGACGAGAGACAGGAGTGAGGCATAGAGAGAGGGCAAGAGAAGCATTCCAATGTATGAAGCTGGGACCTGGGCATGCCCCGAAAACGTGAAGTCCAGGAACGTCCACTCACCCGTCCAGGCACTGCATGGCACGAAGCACGTCGCCCGCATGGCCTCGATGCTCCGGGTTGACGTGGGCGGGCCAGGCATGCGACACAGCAACAGTGGCGACAGCAACCCCGTTGTAGAGATGCCCAGCACCACTTCGGTCCTTCGAGCGCTGCATCAGTCCTTGCTTTCGCATGGTTTGTTTTCCCCCCTTCCTTCACAAATAAGGTCAAATCCCGCCTGCCGAGGAATTGCGGGCGGTTCTTGGATGCTTGTGTTCGGCAAAACACTGCCGAGCTTCCGACTATCAGGATCGTTCAGCACCTGAAGTTTGTGCGGCATACTGCACAAGAGCGCCTCAGCATGCATCCCCAGACGTATGTTCAGGAGGATTCGGGTGGGAATGTAGAGGAGCTTCCTTGAAACGTCAGGCGTGCGCTGTACTTGTCGGCGTGCCAAGCTCCGGTTGAGATGGATGGAGTGGATGGCAACCTCTGCCGGAACAGGAAGCTCTTGCAGCTTTGCTCGCATTTCAATGCAGAGGAGCTCGAAGCAGAGGATGCCGACGAGGTCTGCGGTCGGCTGCTGAAGTGCAGGCAGCAAGAGGCAGCGGGGGGGCATCAAGCATGCTCCCAGCACTGTTCTCCCGAATGCCCTCCCAGCCCTACCACTTGCCCTACCTTATCACCAGCTTAAAACCTTCTTGAGGCTTCCTCGGCAAAGGAGGGGGTCCGGAAATCGGCGAGGTGCCTGGAAGGGCTTGAGCGCTTGGGCTTCGGGCACGGCCTGCCTCCTGGCTTGCCGGACTTGCCGGGCTTGGAAGCTGCCTGGTGCTCAGCCAGGTTCCTCAGGCCCTCGCACGGCTCCATAACAGTGAAAGCCGGTATGGGCCATTCCAACATGTTCCGACCATTCTTTGATGCTTCTTCAACAAGGTCCCAAAGGAGGTCCAGACCAGTCTCGAGACTTTTCTGCAAGAAGCTCGGGAAGAGGCGCGTGGCCTGAGCCCTTCGGCTGCACACTTGAGGACTCCTCTTTGCTATCGCTTGCTTAGCCGCGCTTTCCCTGGTTTTCCTGCATTTTCACATGACTCGGAACAGGCATGGAAAGCCTGGCCGTGCCCAGCCGCTGGACAAAGTTGGCAAACAGCTTGAAGAGCTCGGACAGAGAGGAAGTGGAAGTGGTGGAAGCCTCGAAACGCAGGGAGGTGGCCAAGCTGGCCAGGGAGGGCGTCGAGAAGCTGCAGCTGGCCTTGGTGGAGCTCGCACGGTGCCTGAAGCGCCTCGGCTTCCTCGAGCGGACCTTGGAGTTGGTGGAGGAAGGCTCGGACGCCTCCACCCGGTCATGCAGCATTTGCTACGAGGAGAACTTGGAGCCTTGGAGATCTTGGAGGCTTTGAGGGCTTTCAAGAATGATGTTGCGATGGCTAGAAGCTTCTAGATTCTAGCTTCTGCATTGCTTTGTAGCATGGCTCAGTATGGCTCAGAATTGCTCATCAGCCGTTTCCGTGCTTTCTTGGGTGTTTCCAAGGAGCTGGAGCAGCTGGGTATCACACCCTGTGTTGCTTGACTCCAGCGGCGGCAACAGCCTTTTGCGAAACTCCTTGGACGTGGGCAAACACTCAACTGAGTCAACTCTCTCCCCAACTGCCTCTGGTGTTTTTGTTCGCTCTCTCTTTCTTCCTCTGCTCTCCACCGTGTTGTGCCAAGTTGTGCCCCCCCAAAATTTAAAAAGATAGTGTTTTGTAAGGCCCACGTCTTCTGCCTCCGCTGCCTGCACGAGCAAGTCTCGAAGAATCGCAGCTGCGGCCTGTGCCGGCAGCCGCTCCAAAAGGCCGGAGACCCGATGGGGGGCCGGATAACATGACGGAAAGGTTTGCAGTTTAGGGTTTAGGGAGTAGCATGAATCCCCAAAGCTGTCGCCCGTTGGAGCATTGTGTTTGCCAATGGGGGGGGGGGGGCTGCGCCCCCCCTAACCCCCCCCCTTTTCTCGGCCATGCAGGCTTGCGTCATAGCATATGATTCCTTTCCAAGCCCATCGGGCGAGCGTTGCGTTGCGACCCTCCCAATTAAGCCGTGCAAGCTTGCCTCCCCCAAGACCTCACAACAGCAAGCCATTAGAATCCTTTCCAAACCCATCATTCGAGTCGAGCATTGTGTTTGCAAATGGGGGGGGGCTGCCCCCCCCAACCCCCGCGCTTTTTTTTGGCCGTGCAAGCTTGCTTCAAAGCAGATGGTTCCCTTCCGTTTGTCTTGTCTCATGCTGGCATTTACAGCATTTGCAGCCTCTTGACAGCAGACGCAATTCCCAACGCTTTTCTTCTTCGAAGATACCTATCGGGCATCTGGGGGAAGCACACACATTCAAAACCGCTTTTCCCTTTCGAAGTTCCCTATGGGGGATCTTGGGGCTTTTTCGCAGAGCAGACACATTCAAAGCACTTTTCGTCTTCGAAGCTGGCAATTGGGCATCTTGGGGCCTTTGCGCAAAGCAGACGCATTAAAAACGCCTTTTCGAAGTTCCCTATTGGGCATCTTGGGGCCTTTTTTCGCACAGCAGACACATTCAAAAACGCTTTTGTTCTTGGAAGTTCGCTATTGGGCATCTTGGGGCCTTTCGCACAGCAGACACATTCAAAACGCGTTCCCTCTTCGAAGTTCCCTCTTGGGCATCTTGGAGCCTTTGCGCAGAGCAGACACATTTAAAACGTTGTTCCTCTTCGAAGTTCCCTATTGGGCATCTTGGGGCCTTTTCGCAATGCAGACACATTCAAAACATGCAAGATGCTTTTCCTCTTCGAAGTTCCCTATTGGGCATCTTGAGGCTTTTTTCACAGAGCCGACACATTCAAGACACTTTTGCTCCCAATAGAAAAGCAAAAAAGGCGTTTTGAATGCGTCTGCTTTGCGAAAAGGCCCCAAAATGCCCAATAGGGAATTTCGAAGAGCAAAAACGTTTTGAATGTGTCTGCTCTGCGAAAAGGCCCCAAGATGCGCAATAGGGAACTTCGAAGAGGAAAAACGTTTGAATGTGTTTGCTTGGCGAAAACGCTCCAAGATGCCCAATAGGGAACTTCGAAGAGGAAAAGAGTTTGGAATGTGTCTGCCCAGCGTAAAGGCTCCAAGATACCCAATTGGAAACTTCGAAGAGGAAAATCCTTTTGAATGTGTCTGCTTTGCGCAAAGGCCCCAAGATGCCCAATAGGAAGCTTCGAAGAGTAAAAGTGCTTTGAATGTGTTTGCTCTGCCAAAAAGCCCCAAGATGCCCAATAGGGAGCTTCGAAGAAGAAATGCGCGTTGAATGTGTCTACTCTGACTTCGAGGAGGGAAAGCGTTTTGAATGTGTCTGTTTCTCGAAAGGGCCCCAAGATGCCCAAGAGGGAACTTCGAAGAGCAAAAGCGTTTGAATGTCTGCTTTACGAAAACGCCCCTAGATACCCAATAGGGAACTTCGAAAAGGAAAACGTTGTTAATGTGTTTGCTTTGCGAAAAGGCCCCAAGATGCCCAATTGGGAACTTCGAACAGCAACAGCTTTTTGAATGTGTCTGCTTTGCGAAAAGGCCCCAAGATGCCCAATAGGGAACTTCGAAGAGCAAAAACGTTTTGAATGTGTCTGCTCTGCGAAAAAGGCCCCAAGATGCCCAATAGGGAACTTCGAGGAGGAAAAGCGTTTTGAATGCGTCTGCTTTGCGAAAAGGCCCCAAGATGCCCAATAGCGAAACTTCGAAGAGGAACAACGTTTTAAATGTGTCTGCTCTGCGCAAAGGCTCCAAGATGCCCAAGAGGGAGCTTCGAAGAGGAAAAGCGTTGTGAATGTGTCTGCTTTGCGAAAAGGCCCCAAGATGCCCAATAGCGAACTTCGAAGAACAAAAGCGTGTTGACTGTGTCTGCTGTGCGAAAAGGCCCCAAGATGCCCAGTAGGGAACTTCGAAGAGCAGAAACGTTTTGAATGTGTCTGCTCTGCGAAAAGGCCCCAAGATGCCCAATAGGGAACTTCGAAGAGGAAAAGCGTTTTGAATGCGTCTGCTTCGCGAAAAGGCCCCAAGATGCCCAGCAGGGAACTTCGAAGAGGAAACGCGTTTTGAATGTGTCTGCTCAGCGAAAAGGCCCCAAGATGCCCAGTAGGGAACTTCGAAGAGGAGAAGCGTGTTGAATGTGTCTGCTTTGCGAAAAGGCCCCAAGAAGCCCGACAGGGAACCTCGAAGAAGAAAAGCGCTTTGAATGTGTCTGCTTGGCGAAATGCCCCCAAGATTCCCAATTGGAAACTTCGAAGAGGAAAAGTGTTGTTAATGTGTCTGCTTTGCGAAAAGGCCCCAAGATGCCCAATTGGGAACTTCGAACAGCAACAGCTTTTTAAATGTGTCTGCTTTGCGAAAAGGCCCCAGATGCCCAATAGGGAACTTCGAAGAGCCAAAAAGTTTTGAATGTGTCTGCTCTGCGAAAAAGCCCCAAGATGCCCAATAGGGAACTTCGAAGAGGAAAAGCGTTTTGAATGCGTCTGCTTCGCGAAAAGGCCCCAAGATGCCCAATTGGAAACTTCGAAAAGGAACAACGTTTTAAATGTGTCTGCTCTGCGCAAGGGCTCCAAGATACCCAAAAGGGAGCTTCGAAGAGGAAAAGCGTTGTTAATGTGTCTGCTTTGCGAAAAGGCCCCAAGATGCCCAATTGGGAACTTCGAAGAACAAAAGCGTTTTGAATGTGTCTGCTTTGCGAAAAGGCCCCAAGATGCCCGATAGGGAACTTCGAAGAGCAAAAACGCTTTGAATGTGTCTGCTCTGCGAAAAGGCCCCAAGATGCCCAATAGGGAACTTCGAAGAGGAAAAGCGTTTTGAATGTTTCTGCTTCGCGAAAAGGCCCCAAGATGCCCAATTGGAAACTTCGAAGAGGAACAACGTTTTAAATGTGTCTGTTCTGCGCAAAGGCTCCAAGATGCCCAAGAGGGAGCTTCGAAGAGGAAAAGTGTTGTGAATGTGTCTGCTTTGCGAAAAGGCCCCAAGATGCCCAATAGGGAACTTCGAAAAGGCGTTTTGAATGCGTCTGCTTTGCAAAAAGGCCCCAAAATGCCCAATAGGGAACTTCGAAGAGCACAACAAACGTTTTGAATGTGTCTGCTCTGCGAAAAGAACCCAAAATGCCCAATAAGGGAACTTCGAGGAGGAAAAGCGTGTTGAATGCGTCTGCTTTGCGAAAAGGCCCCAAGATGCCCAATAGGGAACTTCGAAGAGGAAAAGCGTGTTGAATGTGTCTGCTTTGCGAAAAGGCCCCATGATGTCCAATAGGGAACTTCGAAGAGGAAGAATGTTTTGACTGTGTCTGCTCTGCGCAAAGGCCCCAAGATGCCCGATAGGGAACTTCGAAGAGGAAGAATGTTTTGATTGTGTCTGCTCTGCGCAAAGGCCCCAAGATGCCCAATAGGGAACTTCGAAGAACAAAAGCGTTTTGAATGTGTCTGCTGTGCGAAAAGGCCCCAAGATGCCCAAGAGGGAACTTCGAAGAGGAAACACGTTTGGAATGTGTTTGCTCAACGAAAAGGCCCCAAGATGCCCAATAGGGAACTTCGAAGACGAAAAGCGTTTTGAATGTGTCTGCTTTGTGAAAAGGCCCCAAGAAGCCCGACAGGGAGCTTCGAAGAAGAAAAGCGCTTTGAATGTGTCTGCTTGGCGAGATGCCCCCAAGATACCCAATTGGAAACTTCGAAGAGGAAAAGTGTTGTTAATGTGTCTGCTTTGCGAAAAGGCCCCAAGATGCCCAATTGGGAACTTCGAACAGCAACAACTTTTTGAATGTGTCTGCTTTGCGAAAAGGCCCCAAGATGCCCAATAGGGAACTTCGAAGAGCCAAAAAGTTTTGAATGTGTTTGCTCTGCGAACAAGCCCCAAGATGCCCAACAGGGAACTTCGAAGAGGAAAAGCGTTTTGAATGCGTCTGCTTCGGGAAAAGGCCCCAAGATGCCCAATTGGAAACGTCGAAGAGGAACAACGTTTTAAATGTGTCTGCTCTGCGCAAAGGCTCCAAGATGCCCAAAAGGGAGCTTCGAAGAGGAAAAGCGTTGTGAATGTGTCTGCTTTGCGAAACGTCCCCAAGATGCCCAATAGGGAACTTCGAAGAACAAAAGCGTTTTGAATGTGTCTGCTGTGCGAAAAGGCCCCAAGATGCCCAATTGGGAACTTCGAACAACAACAGCTTTTTGAATGTGTCTGCTTTGCGAAAAGGATGCCCGATAGGGAACTTCGAAGAGCAAAAACGTTTTGAATGTGTCTGCTCTGCGAAAAGGCCCCAAAGATGCCCAATAGGGAGCTTCGAAGAGGAAAAACGTTTTGAATGCTTTCCGAAAAGGCCCCAAGATGCCCAGGAAGGAACTTCGAAGAGGGAAAACGTTTTGAATTCGTCTGCTCTGCGAAGTTCCCTATTGGGCATCTTGGGCCCTTGTCGCAAAGCAGACACATTCAAAACGTTTTTCTTCTTCGAAGCCCCCCAGATGCCCAATGCCTTTTCGCAGAGCAGACGAATTCAAAGCGCTTTCTTCTTCGAAGTTCACCATTGGGCATCTTGGAGCCTTTTCGCAGAGCTGACACAATCAATGCGCTTCTCCTCTTCGAAGTTATCTTGGGGTCTTTTCGCAAAGCAGTTTTGGGACATTCAAACCGTCTTTCCCTTCGAAGGTCCCTGTTGGGCATCTTGGAGCCTTTCGCAGAGCAGACACATTCAGAGCGTTTTTCCTCTTCGAAGTTCCCTATTGGGCATCTTGGGGCCTTTTCGCAAAGCAGACACATTCAAAACTCCTTTCCTCTTCGAAGTTCCCGATTCGGCATCTTGGGTATTGGCAGCGTCTGAAAACTCAGACATGCTGCTATGCACAATATGTTTACAGTTCTTTCTTCGCTTCTGCAAAGTCGGAAATGCTGCTATTTGCAGTATTTGCAGCCTTTGGAAACACAGAAGCGCTGCTCTTTACAGTATTTGCAGCTTTTCTAAGCCGTGCAAGCTTGCCTCAAACACCATACTCATCCCTTGCAAACCCGTCATGCGAGCATTGTGTTTCGTGCGGTTGCGACCCCCCAAGCCCCGGCTTTTGTGAGCCGTGCACCATCTGAATCCTTTCCAAACCCATCGTTCGAGCATTGTGTTTGCAAATGGGGGGTGCTGCGCCCCCCGAACCCCCCCTTTCTTAGGCCGAGCAAGCTTGCGTCAAAGCATGTGCGTTCATGCTGGCATTTACAGCATTTGCAGCTTCTGAACCTTCAGAAATGCCGCTCTTTACAGTATTTGCAGCATCTGAAAACTCAGAAATGCTGCTACTTACAGTATTTGAAGCCTCTGACAACGCAGAAATGCTGTTATTTGCCGTATTTGCCAAGCCAAGCCGAGCCACACCTACATTGAACAAAAACAAACCCTCCTAGGGTTTACGGCTGTGTTTTTCTGGGTGGTCTCGTTTGTGAGGCAGACATCCAGCCCTTGATGCTCGAAGTGTGCAGAGAGGAAGGGACCGAGGCGATGGGAGCCATGGGAGGGCCCTCCATGGGAGGGCCCTCCAGCGCCTCCAGCGCTTCTTCGGGCGCTGCGGACCCGGAGCTGAAGCGCCTGCGGAAGTTCGGCACCAAACTCGGAGCCATCGCTCTCCAACTCCGTGAGATTAAGCAGAAGGACTCTCCCATCAACTCAGAACACAAGAAAAGGCAGACAGTTCTTGTTCTTGTTTTGGTTCATTCTGTTCTAATCTTGTGCGCGCGTAGGCGTGTCGCAATAAGTGAGTTGGATCAGGATGGCCTGGCCAAGTGCATCGTCTTCTGCCAGTGGGAGAGCTTGTTGCAAAAGATTGCTGCGGCCTTCAAAGCTTTTGGCATCCGCTACGCGCGGCTTCATGGCTCGGTGTATGCTCGCACGCGGACGTTGGCCAACTTCAAGTCTACGGACTCGGAGGTCGATGTCCTCCTTCTGTCCCTGGAGCAAAGTGCCAGTGGAACCAATCTCACATGTCACCTAGCTGCAGTATAGTATGTCTTATGAGATCTTATGAGCAGTAGCAGGCATCCCAGTGAATGCGTCTTGCTTTTTGCCACCTTGCGTTGCTTTTGTTCTTTGCTGAATGTGTTTCGAACTGTTCTTGCAAGACGCCAGGTGCCAATCATGTCATACTGGTGCACCCCATGAATGCCGTTGACCAGGTGCGTCATGGGATCGAACAATTCCCTTCTTGCACTTGCGACAAACCCGCCGAGTTTCTGAGTCTTGTTCCTAAGCAAGAGTGGCCTGGAGAAATGGAAATAGAAGAACCGCCTCAAAAGCATGGGTTGCCAAATGCAAAAGAGTAGAGACAGAAGCAGCGCCACGGGCGCGCCTTAGGTTTTTCAGCTGAGGGACACGGTATGTCCACGAGGCGAAGACGAAGAACCAATGAAACCGATCGTTAAACTCCTCCAAAGATCCACGCGTCAGGGTGCATCGGGGCATAAAGCAGTGAAAAGCGAGGCTCCTGCGCCAAAACGTCCACATGCGCCCACAATCCTCCACATCTGTTTACTTCGCAGACAAATCGTGGAGCAGAGTGACCGTGGACTCAGGAGCAGTCCGTTGCCTTCGAGCTCCAGGACCGCGCACGACGTCGTTACATGGAAGATTGCGGGATCCACGTCAGTTTTGCTTGCAGACTTGCCCCTGCCTTTGCGGTGACTTGCGTTGTTTATGCTCGCGAAGGCCATCGGTCGCGTGCGGCGTTGGGGTCAGAAGCGCACCGAGGCTGGACAGAGCGCGCAAATTCATCGGGAGAATCCGATGCCAACGTCTTGCCATGTCTTGCAAATGCGCATCACTGCCCTGATTGTCCTGGGTGTCCCCTTTGCGCTTGATAGATTCATCTCTGGCGCTTCTGCACAATTGGCACCGTGGAGGCTCCTCGCTTGCTGAGCTTGTTTCTTTGTCCAGAAGCATGCTCAAAATCCTTCAAGCCTTGTCCAAAGATTGTGACACAGATAGGAAGAGATCACCAGAAAGCATCAGAAGGCGCAACTTCCGCAACTTGCCAGAGGAGGGTGCTGTAGGTACACGTGCTCTCTGGACTCCTTGCCTCTTTGAGATTGCCAGGAAATCTATGAGACCTACCGACAGGGCGATCTATCGTCCGAGGCCTGCGCACTTCTTGAAGGGTTGCAGAAGACTCCCCCATTCGTTCAGCATATGTCAGCACAATTTCTACATATGCGCATACTATGTACATATGAGAGCTTGTGGGGGCCCTTGTGGGGGCCGCTTAGGTGGAGCATGTGGAGTCCAATGTGGAGCGTTCTGGCGAGGCCGAGGCCTCAATGGCCTCATCTCCCAGCATTCAAAAAGAGAGACTTCTGAGTGCTCTGCTTTTAGGTGCCGGCAGCTGGCAAGCGTAAGCGAGAAGACTCCCCACGGATGCAAGACGGCAGGGGCGGCAGGGGCGGCAGGCCGGAGTTCCGGAATTTCAGACTTTCAAGCAGACCTGCTTCGAAGATTTTGGGGAAGGCTGCAACGCCGAGTTACTGCGCTTTACACTGTGCTGGGTGACGTGCTTGTGCCGAACCAGGTGGTCATGCCCTCGATGCACGTTATTGAATGATGCTGGGGCAATGGCCTGCGCTGCCTGTGAACATCCCGCGGGAACCGCGGGCACCGTCGGAACTGTGGAAAAGAAACAAGGCGGGGCAAAATGTAGAGTTCATCTCTTCCAGGGCATTACGTATATGTACTGGAGTTGAAATCGGGGTGAGAAAGGCATAAGGAGGCCATGCTGTTTTTTGCCTCAGGTTGTGAGCCTGCTGGGCGTCGCTTCAGCCAGTGTCTGGTAGCTCGGCTTGATGCCGGGAGCTCCTCTGACAGAGTCTCTTCCAAGCCTGAGATCAGAACCTCTTGCCCCTACGTGTTGAGCGCGCGCCTTTGCATGTTTCGTGTGTTTCGAGGCGCAACCGCCGCCTGGGAGCCCAGTGGATCTGGACACCCTGAGCTCCTCGAGCTCCTCGAGCGAGTCCGCACCGAGAAGAAATGCATTGAACCGTTCGCTTGGGGGTCGACAGCTACCTGTCACCTGTTTTCGTTCATTGTTGTTCACGTTGCCTCAGCGTTTTGCTTCTCATTTCTGCCATGCCACGCTATGTTCCATGCCGCAGCCATACAGGGAGCTTTCCGAAGGGGCCAAAGCCTGCAAAGCCCCGAGCCCTTGGCCCTGAGCCCTGGGCCGAGCCCTCGGATTGTTGGAACAGATGCGACAAGAAAGTGAGGCGACCTGCCTTCACGGCATCTTTCCTGCTAAGGATGGATCAAGCCCTATGACGACGCAGACTGACGGGGAAGAGTACGGCTTCTGCACCAGCGGAGAGCTCAAATCAAGCCGAGCCGGGTGCCAGCAAAGAAGTGCTCGAAAAATGCCGTACAAAGAGCGTGTGTCTTTCACTTCGTTCTCTCCTTGCCTTTTCTCACTTTATGCTTCCACCTCTGGATCTAGGATCTAATCATTAGGGGGTTTCCTTTACGCGTGGTTTAACTGTGCTGTTGGTACAAAAGGTGTGGAAACCTGGGCTGTCATCCGTACACTCTTTGCCCCTAGTAGTATATTACGAGCATATATCAAATCAGCTTTCCGTTATAATCATGGGGCAAAGACCTAGACTTGGAGATGAAGACAGAAGACTCCTGCATCTGGTTCCAGCTCCAGCGGTAAGACTCACGGTTGGACTGGTCCCTACGCCGGTTAGCAACTCTCGACATTGAGACTCCGCCCCAGATTAACTGGAGCTAGAGATGGAGGTTATGGTGTGCGCACAAGCCCCAATAATAGTAGTATGAACACACGCGCATTAATGAGAAGAATCATGATAAGAAGAAGAATCATGGAATAGTATTGTACGAGGCCAAAAACCCCATAAAATGAAGTCTGTTGGATAATGTGAGCGGATGTGGCTGGATTCTTGTAAGTTGCGTAATGTTGTCTCCTGATTAGTGTGCCCCCCCCCCAAACTAATTCCCCCCCGCAATAGTGACAAAAAAAAACCTCTCCCGGCTCCTCTTCATTTCCTCTTGGCTCCTCTTCCCTCTCCTCTTCCTCTCCTCTTCTTCTCCTCTTCCTCTTAGGTAATTTAAGCTCAGGTAAGTTCAGATGAGCTCAGCTCAGGTAAGCTCAGGAAAGCCTCTTCCGAAACCCATGCCCGAAAAACTGTTCATTATAGTGGGGGGGCAGCCGAATCTTTGTCCCCTGAATTATTTTTGAAAACTGTTCATTATTGAAGGGGTCCACACTAATCAGGATACCACATTAAGGAATTGAGCCGTCTCTATGCCGAGCCTTGATGAAAAACTGGGGCTTGACTTTATGCCCGAGGTTCTGCATGAGTGGTGCTACGGCTTTGTTTCAAACAGCGTCTTACGGCACCAGAACGCGGCGGTCTGACTAAGCTTTCTTTGTGGGACACATTCTCTGGGAAGAATGTGGGAGTTGTTCTTACGAACCCATAGATGCTACACGATGCAAGCTCGGGATGATCTTTGTTTTCGGCTTGTCCAGCGTCTTGGGGTTTTTGCTGACCCCAATTGGCCGAAGGATCTGATTGAGCTATTTTGCGGCAAAGAACTGCTGACATATGCTGGACATGCGTGATCATGCATGCAAAGACTTCCACCGAAGACCTGCGGTAAGCTTGTTGCCAAGAACAAATCAGGTCATCTTGAAATTCAGGGGCTGACGCCGGGGGGTCAGCAACCCACGAGAATAGGCATGCTCGAAACCCCTGCAAGCCTCCTGACGCCCTTCTGCAAGGATGTTGTCGAGAGAGCGCGAGACAAGGACTCCGGCCCTACACTTCCCGAGAGAGGGGCGACAGAGAGAGAGAGGGAGAGAGGGAGAGAGCGGAAAGAAGGAAGATTGAGAGCGAGAGACTCACGCGAGTGAGAGTTCGCCGTAGGTGCCCACGGTGTACCATGCTGGGGAAGAATTGTTGCGTTGCTGTGTTGATTCTTTTGTTTTGGGGATGCTTTTTTGTGCTGAGTTTAGCCCTTTCCGGAATTGGGAAACTGGCCGGCCTCGGAAAGGCAAGCCTTGAGCGCTGAGCTAAAGTGTCATACTGACAACGAGAAGAGAGGGCATGGCGAGCACCGAGACCGGCAACCACTCCAGACGGCGACGTTCCACCCCTCAACCTGGCACAAAACCAGTGGCACAGATGGTGAATTTCTACGCAGACGCAAGCAAGCGCGGAAGACAACTTGCGATGACGATCCCCACCGCCGCGAAGAACGAACGATGAAACAACGCATTCAGGAAGGCTCCCGATTTTGATTCCTTGGCCTGGGCTATGCCTGGCCCATGAGAACGTGTCACGTCACACGTCCTGCCATGGTGGCTTGTCCCAGTGTGCTTGTGCCTTCCAGGAGCTGCATAGCAACATTGTAGGAACGTAGGATGCACGTGCCGTTGACGCAGCTTGTTTGGGTCAAGCTGCTGATAGGGGCTGTCGAAGATGGCAGAAAGGTCGGAGCTGGAGCACGACTTCCTGGTGCAGTGTCTGAAAAATTGTGTGATGCGAGAGGGGGCTGAGATTAACCTACCCAAGTTGAGGTCAAGTTTTCTGTTGCTGCGACCTTGGTTTCAGGACAATGCGAAGAGTTTCAACTGGCCTGCGGTGAAGACCATGTTGCAGGAGCGTTTAGGATGTCCATTGGTCGTAGACTCGTAGAGGAGCTATTTTCCATTGGTTTCGAGTTTGCTTTGTTGTGTCATGCTGAGGAGACCCCTGATCTGATTAACGTGCAACCGTCAAATCGATGGACAGCATTGCATCAGGCACGTTGGCATTCGGCTGTTCTTTTTATATTGTTGCGGTGTGGTCTGTCTATGTCTGCCTGGTTGATTCGACGTTAACATGTGACAAAGTACATTTGCTGTTCAGGCTGCCTACGAAGGCAACGCTGAAATAGTGAATTTCTTGCTCGAGAAGGGCTCCAAACTCAGCCCGACCGCTCTGAAGCAAGCCGAGAACTCATCGTGGGCCACATTGTGGGATCTTGTGACTGCGCCACGGCAGGTGCCGACCCGGATGCGCAAACCCGGTCGGGACAAACCCCCGCGGAAGTGGCCAAGGGCCAGGACGGGTCGTATGCACGTGAGCGCGTGCCAATATATGAGAATGTGTGTGTGCTGTTCGAGCCCAGGAGGTTCGACGAGCGATCGAAGCAAAAGCGGGAGCCGATGAGCCCGATGAGCCCGATGAGCCTCCCAAGAAGAAGGCGACTTGTTTCATGGCCTTGCTATGGAGAAGAACCTGACGAGCATACTTTGCCAGTAGCTTGTAGCGTGATGCAGCGCGAAACTCGCAAGAAACTTGCGACACTTGCGGCACAATAGTCTTCTGTTCGGCAGGCCAAGAAGATGCCGAATTACAATCTCAACATCAATTCCGCCGTGGACAAGGCGCAGATTGAGGCTATCCATGTCCATTCCTGAAAGGCGTTGCTTTCGGTGGTCGTCGATGGACTACTCGAAACAATTTGGATGCTCGAAAGGGGGTACGGGAGTGCTACTTCAGGATTTCGGCGACTGAGGTTGTAGCCCATACTCGTACTTCTTTCGCAACAATGGGCACGAAAAAAGACGGGGCTGAAGTTAGGACTGGTAACGAAGATCATGGGGCACTGGTGAAGTTTGTTCAGGCGAGGTCCTTGCCACTGGGTGAATTGGCCTGAGACTGACCGAAGGCTAAATGAAGGAACTAGCTCTCCTAGTCCTACCTTGAGAGCAGGAGTATGAGGGCAGCAGCTTGACGGACATCGTTGCAGCACCGACTTCCGCCCTACAGGGTGTGGGGCCGAAAGGCCGGGATGTTCTCAAGACGCCAGGCTGCAGACTGCCCATATGGGGCCATAGGGCGGACCATGTTAAGCTCAGGTGAATTGAAGGGATTCGAAGGAAACGGAACAGTGGGTTGGTCTGCTGCTGCCCGTGGTTTGGGCGAATGTATTGATGTGTGTGTGTGTCCCACTGCCCACATACAGTTGTGGAGATCCCACACCTACCACTTTTCCCAGAACCGAATGAAATTCTGAAGACTGCTGTTCTTTGGGTTCACGGGCGACCAGGCCCGTGGATGCCAACTGCGGGGCAGAAAGGCTCGAACCATGAGGTCTACCGGAAATCGGTAAACCGGCAGGTGAATGTACCGGAAAACTTGACATGGAATCTGATTCGCACCAGGCAGTGCTGCACCCGGGCTCAGATGGCTGCACGCAGCATGGGGTGATTTTTTGTCCTTGTTCTGTCTGAGATGACGACTGCCAAGGAAGTTCAAACTTCACACGATTGGTGGCTTGCAATCAGTTAATATGGCAACGCTGTTGGAAGCTTTTCTTCGACTTCCAGTTTTTGTCAATTTGGCCCTGAATTTGGTGTCGAAAATGGAGTAAGGCGACCTGGCCAGCTGGAAGTTCTACCGGATCTCCAAGTCCATTCTCGGCCTCTCCACCCTGGAGCAGAAGGGCAAGCGGGAGGAAGGGGCTGCCTTGAACATCAACAAGGCCAGGGCCCCTCTGCCCGCTGTGCGCCGCCAAGAATGTGTAGGCCAACGGGTAACAGTGTAGACTCACTGGACGCATAAGTTCGCGCTGAGTGGGAGGCGATGGACAAGAAGCACGAGACTTGGACCAAAATGATCTAGTGAGGGAGCCTCGCCATTTTCGTGGTTCAACCCAACAAATTTGACCCAAGCATGTGACTGAGGAGTGCAAGTCCCTGGCCGAGATCTTGGAGCTGCCACCTTCAGCGCTCCAGGGTTTGGCTGGCTGGGCAGATCCCGAGCTGGCCAAGGCACGAGAAAAGAGAGGTGGAAAGAGGCTTCTTTTCAGGCTTTTGGTACAAAGTCGGGTTTTGGTGTTAGAGTTTATGCTCAAGTGCTGCCTGCTTCCTTGTCAGGTCGGAGTGACCACCATTGCTAAGCTTGGTGCCTCAGCTTGACCATAAGCCGCTCAGGCATGAGAGGCACATGGAGAGCCAAACGCGTCTCCAGTTGTTGGATGCAGCGCAGGCGATTGGAAATATGCAAAGTGGTCAGAGTGGATCTCCGAGCTCGCGAAGTTTGAGAACACGGACTTCTCCAGCTTGTAGTTTTTTAGTTAGGAGGCATGCGCGCCATTGATCGGTTTGTTAAAACAGTGCCCGGTGCTCGCAGGTTTTCTTCAGTGGGTCATCGATCCAATTTGTCTAGAGAGTTCTTAGTGCAGAGAGTTCCGACTTTCGCCTCCCATCGCAACGAAGCCCCAAAGTCTCGAGTGGCGTTGCAGTTTCAGGGAAGTGGGAACTTGGGCAACATTGGCCTGTAGCACGTTGTGTGGCTTGCATGCTGCTGATGTGCTTGGGAGGACATGGTGAGGCATATGTCTACGCCAGGTGGCTGCTGTGTCATAGCAGTAGTAAGCACCGGGAGTTCACCTCGCCCCCTGTGATTTTGACGACTCAATGGGTAACTGGACAGCACTGGCGCCGTGCACACTGCTGTGTGTAGGCACGTTTTGCTCGAAGCCAGGCCGGTGGCTAGGCAGCAGCCCGCCATGGGAAAGACTCGCGTTATCTCGAAAGGTTACCGCCATGGCACGCGCGACAAGTACTCGAAGAAGTACAGGACAAAGGGCAGACCTGGCATCGCCCGCTACCTGGTGAACTTCAAGCGGGGCGACTATGTCGACATCGTTGCAGACCCATCCATCCAGAAGGGCCTGCCTTACTCCTTGTACCACGGCCGGACCGGAATTGTGTTCAACGTGAACCGCAACGCACTCGGCGTCGAGATCACCAAGATCGTGGGAAACCGCCAGCTGCGAAAGCGCATCCACGTGCGCATCGAGCATGTGCGCAAGTCCCGCTGCAACGAGGCTTTCCTCCATCGTGTCAAGGACAATGACAAGAAGAAGCAGGCGGCGAAGCTCGAGGGCAAGAAGCTTGTGTGCAAGCGAGTTCCGGAGGGACCGAAGCCGATGAAGACGGTGACCGCCTCCCCCGAAGATGTGGAGGTGCTTGCGCCCTTGCCGTTCGTGGAGAACTACTTCTGAGAATGCTGCAACCTCCAGATCCGCGGCTACCCGAGCAAACTAGTGACAACAAGTTGCTTGTCCCAGTGCATGTGCTTCAATTTGCCACAACGCGCATGCTTAACCAGTGTCGGACGGGCACTGTCACGGTAGGCATGTGTCGTGTCGCATGATGCCGCCCCTCGCCACCCTTTTGTTAATTGTGCAGGCACGTTTTGCTCGAAGCCAGGCCGGTGGCTAGGCAGCAGCCCGCCATGGGAAAGACTCGCGTTATCTCGAAAGGTTACCGCCATGGCACGCGCGACAAGTACTCGAAGAAGTACAGGACAAAGGGCAGACCTGGCATCGCCCGCTACCTGGTGAACTTCAAGCGGGGCGACTATGTCGACATCGTTGCAGACCCATCCATCCAGAAGGGCCTGCCTTACTCCTTGTACCACGGCCGGACCGGAATTGTGTTCAACGTGAACCGCAACGCACTCGGCGTCGAGATCACCAAGATCGTGGGAAACCGCCAGCTGCGAAAGCGCATCCACGTGCGCATCGAGCATGTGCGCAAGTCCCGCTGCAACGAGGCTTTCCTCCATCGTGTCAAGGACAATGACAAGAAGAAGCAGGCGGCGAAGCTCGAGGGCAAGAAGCTTGTGTGCAAGCGAGTTCCGGAGGGACCGAAGCCGATGAAGACGGTGACCGCCTCCCCCGAAGATGTAGAGGTGCTTGCGCCCTTGCCGTTCGTGGAGAACTACTTCTGAGTCTTCTGAGAATGCTGCAACCTCCAGATCCGCGGCCACCCGAGCAAACTAGTGACAACAAGTTGCTTGTCCCAGTGCATGTGCTTCAATTTGCCACAACGCGCATGCTTAACCAGTGTCGGACGGGCACTGTCACGGTAGGCATGTGTCGTGTCGCATGATGCCGCCCTTCTCCACCCTTTGGTTAATTGTGCAGGCACGTTTTGCTCGAAGCCAGGCCGGTGGCTAGGCAGCAGCCCGCCATGGGAAAGACTCGCGTTATCTCGAAAGGTTACCGCCATGGCACGCGCGACAAGTACTCGAAGAAGTACAGGACAAAGGGCAGACCTGGCATCGCCCGCTACCTGGTGAACTTCAAACGGGGCGACTATGTCGACATCGTTGCAGACCCATCCATCCAGAAGGGCCTGCCTTACTCCTTGTACCACGGCCGGACCGGAATTGTGTTCAACGTGAACCGCAACGCACTCGGCGTCGAGATCACCAAGATCGTGGGAAACCGCCAGCTGCGAAAGCGCATCCACGTGCGCATCGAGCATGTGCGCAAGTCCCGCTGCAACGAGGCTTTCCTCCATCGTGTCAAGGACAATGACAAGAAGAAGCAGGCGGCGAAGCTCGAGGGCAAGAAGCTTGTGTGCAAGCGAGTTCCGGAGGGACCGAAGCCGATGAAGACGGTGACCGCCTCCCCCGAAGATGTAGAGGTGCTTGCGCCCTTGCCGTTCGTGGAGAACTACTTCTGAGAATGCTGCAACCTCCAGATCCGGTGGGCATCCGAGCAAAAGGGTTCAGGTCCGCTTGTCGAACAGATGTGAGGCATCGATTGCAGCTTAGAGTCGTATTGCTTGTGTTGCAATCTTTGTGAGCCCATGTTTGCATGTGTCCTGCAGCATTTGCACGTAGCTTGTGGAACTAGACAGGGCGAGCCTTGAGATATGAGTCCCATGTAGATGAGTCAGCCGCCCTCGTGGCGGCCTCGGAGCGCGTGTTCTCCCATCCTGCCCAAAAAGGTCTCATATGACTCCCATATGAATTGTAAACGCTTGCGCGCACCGCCTCGGCAGCCGGGCCGGCCCACGGAAAGGAGGAAAGAGGGCTAAAACAAAGGGGGAGGGGGGTCCAGGAGGTAGGGGTCCCAGCGTCTCAAAGGTGTCAGGGCGGGCTCCAAGCGATGGGGGTGGTCCCACAGGGCGCGGGTTGTTTCCAAACGCTTCTCGAAGAAAAAAAGGCTTAAGGGTCCTACAAGAACCTTTCCCGCTCCACGGGCCCCACTGCAAAGGCTCGGGGCCAGTCCGCAAGGCCAGGCCGGCCAAGGCGGCAAGACCGGGCCACATGTCAGGCCGAGGGTTTGGGGGATGGGGGGGCGGCCCCCGCTTGTGACTCTTAGTATTAATCTGCTCGCGAAATCTGAAGAACAGGTACGGGGTCTCTGACCCAATCTCGCTGCAGGCAAGAGCCTTGTGGGCACACAAGTGTAAGCACATGCCGTCACCTCGTCCGCTACCAGTGCAGGAAGCTGAGCCGAATGACTTGCTCTTGAGCGAGCAGCAGAAGCCTCGGATGAGAGTCTGATTCTGTCATTCTGTAGCCGCAGCAGGTCGCAAAATCAAGTGCCAGAACATTTGGCCGCTTGAGGATGCGGGAGCACCTGGAGACGGTATTCCCGACGGAAACTCCCGAGGGAATGGACCGACGTCAGGCAGGAGAAGCGAAGCGAAGCACAGCTCTTCCAACACATGCCCCCTGTGCTCTCCGCCACAGGGTGTGCTGCAGGAGCTGGAGAGAATGTTTCACGTGACTTGGACTGATGGTGACCTCCCTTGCCACTTTGCGCTTTCGCATCACCGAGGATTGGATGTGCAAGCTGTGCTTGGGGCCAGTCTCATGATGCAGTCCAATGTTTTTTGCAGCTCACCCCAGCCTTTCCCCGTCGGCCTGAGACCCTCAAGACCGAGGCGCAGAAGCCAACCTGTCAGAGGAGGAGATTCGAAAGCCGAAAGCCCAAGGGCGAAACAACAAACAGCGGACCGTCAGCACATGTCAGCATACAACGCCCGGGGTTTGAGGTCCACGGTCAAGATTACGACCCTTGGCTCGTACAGGCATCCTTCAAGCAGTTTTCACATCGTTTCGTATGGTTTCGTATGGTTTCACGCAGATTCATGTAGCTTCCCAGCCGGAGGCTTGGTGTTGTGCATCCTGGCAGCGACATCGACACCTTGTGCATCGCGCCGCTGGGCTCTTGGCTTCAGGGGCCTGCGCAAAGAGTGAGGCGTAACCGGGTAGTTGCGAAGTCGTCACAAGGCCGGTCATCCGACGGGAGGATTTCTTCTCAACGCACCTTGGCTTGCAGTGTTTTGCGCTGGCTCCGTCTGTCACTGGACCGCGCGGTAAAGACATTCAAAGACCATGGTCTTCATGTTGGAGGTTTGCAACGCAACTGGAGCAGCATGTTCGAGACTCAGAGCTCACCATGTGTTTCTACAGCACAGAAGGGTAGCCCCCCCTTTGCGAGGAGGACGTGGCAGAATGCATGCCGATTCCCGATGCGTGACCTGCCGACTGCGAAGTTTCGAGGCACGGGCCAGGCATGGCTGTGAGCAGAGGTACACGCCCATCATCAAGCTGAAGATGAGAGGGGTTTGTGGGGCCCCTGGGGCCCTCCTGAAACGGCTCCAAGCGCTCGGCTACAGCGATCTACGACTGTGTCGACACCTTTACTCGCGAGCTGCATGAGCCACAGGTATTGATCTTCTGTTTGCTCGACTGGCACGAGCACCAGATGCAGAGCTAGCAGAGGAGGCCTGAAAGCTGTTGACCGAGAATTGGACGCGCATGGTTTTGTGTGGGCAGCAGGTGGTAAAGGAAGATGAGGTCCTCAAAAACATGGATGAGAAGAGCGTGCCCTGGTTAGCATATGATTTGTCCAGAGAATGTCATGAGTCATACGTCATAAGTGCTCCTCGATGTGCTTTCTTGCTCAGAGCTGCTCGTGATGAGGTGCGGTGTTTAAATGGATTTCGTGTCCCTTGCCCGCATTTGACAAGACGATCGTCTTCCGCTCGTGTTTCCATTGTGCCCAACTCCGAACACCCCGATACACTGAAAGGAAGTGGACGATTGAGGAGTAAGGCGAGTAAGGCTGAAGTATGGTAGGACCTCCGGTAGGACCTCCCGGCAAGATCCCGCAAGACCTGGGCCCGGACATGTGCTGAAACGGGGAATGGAGGGGGAGACAGGGGCAAGCTCTCAGATTCATGTTGAAATCATGTCAGAGTCTAGCTTTCCAGGTGGCAGACCAAATCTTGAAGCTGGTTCCGGACCAGGACCTAAGAGTCACGGCAAAAAGGGGTCAGTGAAGGGCATCGGCTGACGCGCAATCCAGACAGGAGACCTTTCGGCGCACGCTGCGATTCATCAAGCCCCCTTCCAGGCTCATAAGTCAATGGAGCATGTCAAGGAAGCGTTGGTTCCTGAGGTACTGGGCCAGGCGAAGAGGCATCTACTCGAACATCGTTGGCTTCTTTGGCGGGTGCGCGGGTGGGAAGGCAAACGCTGCGCGAGGGAGGTTACGCCTGCTTCAGGATCACCTGGTCCTTGCTTGTGGCCAGGATCTGTCAGTGGCTGAGCTCCGCGGACTTGGAGTGGCTAGTGTTCTGTTCGCTTTCACATTCCGAGGCCAACTCTACCCGTACTACGCGCCGAACCAGCTGATCAACAGGACACCAAGGGTGGAGTTTTGCCGCTGTTAGTCTCCAGCTCGAGTCCACCCGGTTGTGCACATCATGGCTTACCCGGTGGCCATTTTCAGAATTCCAAAGGAATTTGGAGCACCATGGGACAGCACATGGGCTATCACTTTTCAGATGCGAGTCAGCTCTGTTGCACGTACGAGGCCCCTGTGTCATGCCCGCGTCAACCAGTTATAAGAACCCAACTTGTACCCTGTCGCCTTTCTTCGAGCTTCGGCGCTTCTGGCAACCCATGGCATTGCCTCCGAAGTGCCTCTGATGAAACGGAGCGACGAGCGACAGGGTGACCGCATGAGCTCATGAGCAACTCAGCAACTTTGAACTTTGGTTGGAGCTCCTGAGGCTATTTATTCCCACACCGCCAGACGAGCCTCGACAACGCCCACGGCGGCCTGTTCATTCGGTCCACCACCAGGCCTCGCCATGGGTCTTTCTGGTTATTTCTGGTTCTAATTATTTGCTTCAAACACCGACTTAAGCAGCCCCACTGTGGACTCCGGTGGGCTACAGGCCATAGCACTCCCTTTACCCAGAAATGACATAAATTGTCCCTGCACTGAAAGACTGATGCTAATGCAGGAGCTTGAGCTTCGGTTGTCAAAATTTCTGAACCTTGAGAACGTAAGCAACCGATAGCAGCTCCGATAGCATATGCTCGGACAGAGCATGAATGTGTTAGTTCGTCCTTCCACCTGTTGTCGCTCCTGCACATCTGAAACAAGAATCGCGGGATCGGATGATGCGATTGAACTGGCGGGTGTAGAAAGGGCACTTCGCCCAATTTCACGGTGTTTGAAAACGAGACATGTCCAGTGCAATGCTTGGTTTCTTATAATTGCGTGTTCACGCAATGCGCATTCCCGCGACTTCTCGCGCAGGAGAAGTCGGAGAAGTGCTCACAGAAGGAGGCCTCAATTGCCTCGATGCGTTCCCGACCAGCCCAAGCACCGCTCGGGCACTTGGGGCACCAAGGGCACCAAGGGCAGCAAGCTCGGACGGCGCCGCCAACGCCAGAGGAGTCCTTGGCGAGAGAAAACCGAGCCAGGGAGACTGGGGAGACGGAGGCGCGCCTTTTTCTTTTCTCTCCCAAAACCAGATACCTATGTCATATATTGTCCTGTGATATTCAGTTGGAGCCTTCGGCTCTTCAGCTTGCGGGGGGGGGGGGAGGGTCTCATGCCGTTGGCGTTACGCCGAGCCTTAGCAAGCTTCAGCTCAGTGCGGCACCGTGCAGGTGTCAGACGCCGATGTGAAGAAGCTGGCCGAGCAACTGGCGAAGCGGAAATCCTCGACACACGGTGGCCGGAGCTTCTTCAAATGGTCTTTCCGATCAAGAGCCGAAAAACCGGACGAGCCTTCGGATCCGCCTTCCAAGGCACCAGCTGCCAGCAGAGGTTATCATGAGGCTACCTTGCGCATGCGAAGTGACCCAAAACGGGTGTAACACGCAGTGAAAGCGCTGTGCCACGGTTTCATTCATCCGTGCAGATCCCCGGATCACGCAGGAAAAACGGGAAAAAGCAGCTCATGAAGCTGCCACACGTCACTTCTGATAAGAGGGCGTGTGGTGGTTGTGAACAGTTGAGACCGTCACCCCTCCTTTCCAAACAAACTGTGCTTCGCCCATCTAAGCAGGTGCCCAACAAAATAACGTTGAAGCTCTGCCCTGAACATCGGCCATCTTCGAATCGGGTCTACATTGCGAGTTGCAAAACATCCCCATGCTCAGCAATGTGTTCCAACTTGTGCTGTCGAACAGGTTCTTTCGCTTGTACCACCAGTGGAATTGGACCAGGTCCGCGTCTCCCAATTCAAAAACATCTGCTCACCACTTTAACACGTGAGGCCAGTAACACTCTGCGAGATTGTGGATCCAGCAGCTGGGCTTTACCTTTAGACATACAAGCATTCTTGGAGGCTTAGTAAGGTGGAGGAAGGTGAGGCCTTGCAGTCTCGCAGCCGACTGCATTCAGGCGGCGGTTCCAGGAATGACTTCTTTCAAGGCCTTGCAGTCTCGGCATAGAGAGAAGTACTCGGGGGCGCTCACACTACCGGCCTGTGTTCGTTGCTCTGCTTGTCTCTGCTCAATGAAGGTATGGAATCCCAAGACGAATCCGGCCGACAGGCAACATGTCGCTTAGACCCACATGGAAGCCCGCACAGGGTATCTACGCAGCGAATGCGATATCGAGGTCATGCCAGTGATAACACCTGCTTTCCCATCGATGAATTCCACGCACAACGCTGCTTGGACGTGTTCTGCCAACACAATCTGACACACAAGCCTCGGAGACAACGAGGGGCATGTCTAGCATCTAGGGCGGAGCCAGGTGACCGAAACCACCAAGCGAATACTCCTTGAGGAGCCCGGGCCTGATGACACTCACCATCAATGTCTCTGAATGAAAAAAGACGCGCTGAGCAAAAAGGGGAGTACTCCGAGTTCACTGAGTACGACCTCCTGCTTTCTTTTGGCCGCCGCCTTCGTGAGTTGTGGCCCTCAGGTTCCGGAGGGGCTTCGAGGTGGTGCAGAGCGTCGAAGGCCACAAGGC